GATGGTGTTGCAGTGATTGAAAAAGATGGTAATCTGATGGTGTCATATCTAGAGAATATGGTGGGTGGGGGAGAACTTCCCAACCCACCTCCATAATCTTATGTTGCGTCAAACATGGTACATGTAGACGTGCATTGTCGTGGAGAAGAAGAACACCTTTCCGACTGACAAGTGAGGGGAATTTCTATTGAAAGGCTTGATTTAAACGTTCCAGTTGCTGATTATAGATCTTTGCATTGACAGTTCGCTGTGGATTGAGGATTTCCCACCAAAAGCAAAGCATCACCTTCTGCGGATGGAGTCCAGGTTTTTGGGTCAGGAGTGGTTTTTGTCTAGGACTAAGCCATTCTTTTTGGCATTTAATATTTGCAAAGAGAATCCATTTTTCATCACCAGTGACAATTCTGTCCAAAAATGGTTCACGTGCATTACAAGCCAGAAGAGACGCAGCAACGTTCACACAGTTTATAAGGTGAAAGTCATCTGAACGAAATTTGCTGAGCCATCATTGACACATATGAACATTCAAAACATTTCCATAAATTTCTTTGATATTCTTTGTGGCTACAGAGGCGTTGTTTCCCTTCTTGTATTCAAACAGCATTATATGTTGAACGTGTATCTCGTCATGTGCCATAACTATAAGGGATTAGAGTATACTAAACTTTACACATTATATAGGCTACAGTAATGTGACATTTAGGCGGTTCGTTTAACTATTATACGTGATGTACGTTTTTGGGGGTTGGTTAATGAAAGTTTCAAAAATGCTACATTAATTTCTTGAAGACTCTTTTTTAAAGAATACACAACTAGTGTCCCCAAAAGTGTTCTGTTTCAAGAGTAAATAAAACCAAAATTATGAGAGACAAACATTTTTATTTCTTACTTTTGAAGTTCATATGTCATGCTGTGTTGTAGCCGACACAGTGCATAATTCTTCACGATTCATGGCATGCACATGTTTTACTGATATCACGACTGTACAAATTGCAATGCTAAGCATCCCTTATGTGATGTCATTTTAGTGTCTACTGACTGACTGACAGACAGACAACATACTACTGTATACTGGTACGAGTGGTTAAAACAGGTGACCACTCCATGCAGCCTTCAGCCCCCTTTTCAGGAAATAATTGGTATCAACACAAACAGAAACATGCAATACATATTATAACAAAATTGCATTTTATCTAAACAACATTGATATGGTATCTTCCTTTCAATTATTACTACAAACTGCACCTAAAAAAAATCTTCAATAAGCAGATGACTGCTGTATCCAACAGACTAATTTTGTAAAAATTTCAAATTATGGAACTAACCCTTTCAATCTCTCATAACTTCAGCTTTATACCATTTTAATCTACAAAATATACAAAACTCACTCTGTTGAAGAATTGTCAACGTTTCCTGCCTTTCTGCTTCAGAGACCAAACTATGACCTGGAGGAATACTAGGATCAGGAATTTCTCGGAGTTTTCTCTCTTTCTCCTCTCTCCACTGTTGTTTACGTTGAATAAGACTTAAAAGAGGAAGTAATTTAAAGACATACCACTAATAACTACTCATTGATTTATTATTATACACACCAATAAAGAAAACTTTTTCAGATATCTCACATAATTCTATCACAACATTTTATCATATGTACACAGTTCTTATAGGAAAGGATAACTACACTTAACCCTACATGCACGTTGAAGAATTAATGTTTACTATAATTCCAAATTTGTTATGCGAGTCTTCAGAAAATTTGGCAAGATTTTAGTAAATATGAAAAGTCCATTGTGAACAAAAAACCAGATTTTTTAATACAGTATTTTTACTAAACATTTGTCCACAAATTTGCAAAATCAGTCTGACTAGTTTGAGTACAAGGTGATTTTCATGTTTCATCTTACAGTTTTTATATATCATTTGCATAGCCTCTAGAATCTTCTAAATTAATATTAGAGCTATATCTATATTTATCTCATATTTTCTCTACCCTAACTCTGGCAAAATAATATGTAGCAAAAAATGATCTATTAAATTAAAATAAAGTAATTAATCACCCAGCAAGAGCATAGCTGAAGAGTTCGAGTGACAGAAAACAAAGTATCGAATAACATAATGCACACCTAATTGAGAATTTCTTTTTTACATTTAAACTTTTTATTATCTAATAAACTTTAACTTTTACATATTAATTACTTAAATAGTTAAAACATGTATGTAAGTAAATAAACAACAACATAAAAACAAGATATTTACCATTTATTATTGCTTACAGGCATAGTTGGAATTGAGAATGTACTCAACATGTGTCATTAAGACTACTTTTTCCACATCATATTAGTTGTCCAAAAGATAATTCTTGCAGCTTTCAAATATGCATTTTAAAACACACAATATTTTAAACAGCAAAATAAAATGCCCCAAAATAACTATAATTTATATGGCTTTCTAACATATATATAGGTTACAAAAATTTTATACTTATTGGTCTACACTCAATAGAGTCAACTTGTGAAATGGCGCTTTTTGTTGAAATAAATTAGCATAAATATAACATAATCATGTAGTTCACAAAACAGCTTGTCTATTAGTCATAAACATATATCACTAAAAATTAAGTGTGACAAAATAAATAATTTCTAAAGAATATAGAGTTGGGAGAGCTTCTGTGGTGGGTGAAACAAATTTATTCATATATCAGAAAATAAAGAAGGTGGGAAGTTCTTATTTTAAATTCTGGCCTGTCAATATCTGTGATTGGCATTTCTGATTGGTGGACATTCTGAAACCATATAAGGGAAGAAAGAAGATTTAAAAAGGAGAGTTCAGAGCAGAGGCACCATGTGACACAGAAAAGTGAAGACTTAGAATTTATCTAAATATTTCCTTTTTAAATTAAAAACTAAAACTTGTATAATATTGAAATTTAAATTAGCTACTTTTTGATACCAAGTTGAATGATATATATTGAAAATAAATTACATTTTGAATATAACTCTATAAAAGATCTGGCATACAAACTTTGATTCCCAACTATGAACATAGCTATACTCATTACCAGGTTGATTTTTAGTTTCACTCTAAGTAGGTAATGTGCTCTGACTGTATGTTAATAAGAACTTTTCCATTACTTTTTTATTAATTTTACCCAGGTTTCTTCTTTACTAAAATTATACAGTTTATATAAAGAATTATAATAATTAAATTATGATAAGCATATTCCACTTCACTTCCAATATCATTAAATGATTCATTAATATCATATTTTTCTGTTTTGAAACTTGTAATAACAATTCAAAGCAGAATGTACAATCCTCAAATTTACATTTTAAAGAAGGTATTACAAATTTTGCCCTACAAGCTAACACCTTTTCTATTTCACTCAAAACATAATGTATAATTAAATATCAAGTATTTTTGTACATTTATTATAATAAAATAGAAATTAACTACATTATAATTATTTAGTGTTTGGAAAGCCCAATTCAGGCAAAATAGGTATTACCTCTGAACCAGTGATGGAAATGGGGGAAAAATACATGTACCTAGTTCCCATTTTGCATTTTTTTTCCCCATTGGTCAAGTTTAGTACTACTGAAAATTTTTATTAATCCTATTATCACGAGTCAAAGGCCATGTCATCATGTTTATTGACTTGCATTCAAAATTTTATTGAACTACTATTTAAAAAGTTTTGTATATGAAACTATATTTTCATTATAATATATTAATTTGACATATGTAGGTAACCGCTTTTAAAACGTTAAACCTAGATTAGGTTTAACACCTTACAAGTTCCTTTTGTTTTTTATTACTATAGAATTCTAAAGGGTTTTAATTTTTCAATGCAGAATGTGGATGGACCATTTATCTCAAACCCCTGTACTAAATTTATAACATGAACATAAAGGGCCTTGGAACTTGTATTTTTAAAATTAAATTGAGTTTGATATGAAACATTTAAGAATTCAACTCTAACATCAATATTATTTCTATTACAATTACACTCTGTTTTTGTCTGTCCTGAAAATGCAAGTTCACCTTACTATCTAAATGTGCATGCATTTTATTTCAACATATTAAATGCTTATCAAAGTTTTTAAAAAGGTCTAATGTGAGGACATAGAATAACATGGTTATTTACTGATTGTATTAAGTATAGTAAAGTTTAGCCCTAACCTAAACTAAAGCAATAAAAATGTACACAAGTTACAGCATTAATTTATCTCTTTTTATCAAATACAGCTGTATAGGCTGTACTTAAAAAAGGCTTAACTAATATAAGGCTTAAGACAAGTGGATTAATAGATTTCAGTTTCTGGGATTAGAATTAATTTGTATTATTCTAGAAATCCTTGTATTGAAAGAAGTATTGTTGCAAGAAAGATACTAATCTGATCACAAATGTATTCTAGGCCTCTGTATTAATGTGGTATTTTGACCATTGTATTATAATGTTTGTATTCAGGATTCCTACTCATTAGTTCTCTCATATTTTAGGAAAACTGAATAATTTAACTTAAGAAATGATAAAAATCATTACACAAGAACTTCTTGAGTGATTATATAATTAATAATATTATGCCTAAATTTCTTAATATTAAAGTAAAAATAAAGCGTTTTCATCAATCTCCATAATATCACAATATTAATAAGTGTGCATTCAATCTGGATATAATACAGTAGTGTAAGTTAAAGTAAGACACTGAAAAAAATATTTTGAAGAGGCCTCTTGGTATTTCTAAACACAAGTGAATGACATGAATTATATACACCTTATTACCACACAAAATAATAAACTATTAATTTAAATAGGAAAAAAGCATTTAGATCAACTTAATAGGATAGCAAATGGCCAAGGAAATAATCCACATATTAATCATCCTAATAATATAACTTCTTAGTGCAGGCCTCTACAAATACTTTCATATCTAGAAGCCAGCCCAAAAACTTAGGAGCCAGATCCAATACAGAAAAGTTAAATAATATATTTTGAGTTGGTTGTGTGGTTATGGTATGAGATTTACTGTTTTACACTGAAAAAACAAAGGGTTCATTATGAAACTTTATTATATAACATATATTAAAGATAGAACTTCAATATGTGCAATTATCAAAATTGTAGATTAAATAACTGTAACTTAGGTGGATTCTTGCACTGAATGAAAGTAAAATAAAAATAATCACTGCAATATTGATAGACCAAGCAGGTTGTTTTTGAATAGGTCTAACCTACTCATCACTACAACACTATACAACGATAAGCAAAGGCCTTTTGGTGTGCCTAACCTAAGTTCACTACTGTTTGTACCAATGCATGCTAACGATCACATGATATCAACAACCACTTGATAGTCTTGCCTGAACTAACTGCCTTTGGTCCTGCCCGAGTCTAAACACATGCACTGATTGGTAGAATTGAGAGAAAGATGAAAAACAAAATAGCGTGAAATTTGTAATGTGTTGTGCAACTGCAGTGCTTCATTTCAGAAAAAACATTTTGGACTCAAACAATGTAAAAATGGTATTGGACTTCCAAGAGTCCAGAACTGTTTCAGATTTGAATTCTATTTAGTGTATCCCTTTGCATAAATAAAATAGGAGAAAATACTAGGCACTACTATGAAATTTTACTATGGCACCCAGGCTTTATCGAGGCCTGTCTTAGAGTATGTTCTGAAAAAGAAAATCTTACACATACAGTTTGAAGTTACAGCTATGAAAATCAATAGTTGGAAATATGACCATAGAATTTCCAACTTTATACTGTAGTGACGATTTGTTGATAACTTTTGTCACCTTTAGTGATTCTCGTGTAAATTAGTTTTTACAATATATTGTTTGTTTGTTTGTAATTAAGCACAAAGCTACACAATGGCCTATCTGTGCTCTGCCCACCACAGTTATTGAAACCTGGATTCTAGCGTTGTAAGTCCGCAGACATACTGCTGTGCCACTGGGGGTGCTACAATATATTAAGAATCAACATATAAATAGACGTTTTTCTGGTACATCACCATGAACATTCATTGTGTTTGCAAAGTATCTAGCAAGTATGAATATTTTAATATGGAATTAATGAATTTTAAAATATTTCTAAATAGAAATGGTTTACCAAATAATACGATTGATAATATCATACAGAATTATTTAGATGCGGTTAATAGTATTAAACAATTAAAATTTAGTGTTCCAAAACAAACAATAAGTACAATATAACTGTATCATGAACCATGATAGTGGTTCATATAGTGATTGTACAGGAATTTGCTCAAAACTCTAATAGAATATTCGAGCAAAAACCACTTTAAAAAAAGACTTAATCTTGAAACAACACTCAAAACCTTGCTTTTCAACAGTTAAACCACTCAACCATTCAAAATAAGCAAAACAAGCGATTTTATGATTGTTATACAAAATCAAAATTTGCTTATTTGTCCATATTATTGTTTCACAAGCCTACAGGAAAATCAACTGGGTATTTTGCCCTAAAACTTAGATAGATATACTATATGTAACACTGCAAATGTCCATGACCTATTTAAAAGTCGATTATTTTGCACTGAAAGTTGATTTACGTTGTTATATATAAATAATAGATGCAATATTGTTCTGAGCAGCCGCTTTTATGCTCGACAAGTGTTAAACGTGCTTACACCTGGCTCAGTAAATAATTACTTTAAAAGATATGAAGCTTTATTTAAAGTGATGTTATAGATGTATTTGTTTTATTTGAAAAGGTTGCTTTTCTACTGGTAAAATGTTATACGTGTTTAGTGGGGGTTGTGTCTTACTCTAGACATATATTTGCCCATTGCTGTGAATTAAAAAAGCCAACATACAATATAATTAAAAATTGTGAATTTAAAATCTACAAATAGAGGTTCAAAAAAAAAAGTAAGCAAACAAGGATGGAGATCTACTGCCGACAGTTTGCTCAAGCTACAAATACCTATTATGACTCGACTATACAATTATTGCAAGTGATATCTACTGTAGTGTGAAATAATAACACAAATTTTGCAAAAAACTTAGAGAGTAGTTTTAAACTTAATTCGACCTCCTTAGTTTTGTTGTGCTGTAAAATTTTCTAAGTCCTTCACTTTCTGCCATCAAAAAATCCTGTGTTTTCCTAGCATGTGCATTTGTGGAAAACTACAAATCATGAATTTTCTAGTGCATTAACTGGAAACTGCCACGTGAAAGGTTCCAGATTTTGCTGTTGCATATCATTTCTCAAGTCACTATTGTTCATTGAGTTCACTATCTCTAAGTGGATTTCCATGACTATATTTTAGCAAGTTTTTAAACGATTACTATAGAAGATTATCCTACTCAGACAATGGTGGTGATTCTTTCTACTGTTTAGTATACTTAGTTGAAATCATAAGTGCATATTCAGAATTTATTACCTCTGCATTAGCACTATTTTGTATACCTATTGCTATTTTAAAATAGTTGGTGTTAAGATTGTGATTGTAAATGTTGTTGATAATTGGCAACTTACACGTGTTTATATTGCATGCATTATTTGTGTCACTTTATTCTAGCAAACACTTGTGCACAGCAGGTTGTTGAAGAACATACATATGTGTCATGTAGACCTAACAAAGTAAGCATGTTGATGAGTCTATTTACACTGCATTAATCTGTGTAATGAGTCTGTTTACTTAGTGATTGAATTATGTTTTACAATTTCTTCTAATTACTAAACTCAATCCTCTCTTTTCCATATTCCAGAAAAGTCTAAGATCAACAAGTGGTATCTAGATACAATCACCAAAGGTTAGGAAGCATCTCTGTCTCCCAGAATTTCTTATTTTCTTAATCCTCTGTTTAAGGATACCATGTGGTATTTAGATAGCTAAGCAACAAATTTCTTCACTATCAATACATTTATCTGAAAATAATTTCCATGGTACTTTCTCAATTTTATGGAATTTCATTGTGTTGGTCTGCTATAGAAATCGTTGATTTTGTCACTGCCTAGTGTGGTTGAGTGATTCTACCATTGATAGACACTTGACTTTTACTTCACAATTACAAACCAAGCCACTATTGAAGGCACTTAAGTAGTTTCCTTCCATTTTTGTAAACAAACAACCATATTGGATATTTGAAATCTATGATCAATATGCTGAAATGGAACATTTCTTATTTTGATGGTCATAATCAATTGCAGCTGGAGATGTCTTTTGAACATATAATATTCTTTGCTACACAAGATGTTTTCTCTCACACACTGAAACTTTCAAGCTTTCTCAAAAACAGTGGCCGTTTCTCTCTCCTTCCTCCATCTTTGGTTACCACCATGGCTTTTAGTTTGTTTGTTTTTTCAATTTTGTGTATTTCTCCTTTCATAGCTTTTTAGTCATTTCAATAGTTAAATTTTTTTTATCTTATTTATTTTGGCTTCCAACAGCAAGCTGTTGAGCTGTCCATGTCCACTTTTTTTTTTATCCTTATGTTGTTATAGATCATTTTAGTAGAACCTTCTAAGTTTGTCTGCTTGTTTTAACTGAGTATTATTGCATCATAATATCTCACAGTGCATAGAAAGTTCTAGACTTCTGTTAAATAAGACAAAGTTAGTTAGACAGAGATAGATCTAGACTGTGTGATTGAGTTTAGCTACAAAGAGCATATAGTGGCAATTTCTAAAGTGAATTATCACAGATTGTATTGTAATAACAGAATAGAGAAGAAATAATTTGTCTTGTAAAATTGTGCTGTAAGGTAACTGAACCAGCCAGCATGGAATTTGACAAAATGGAGACAATTATTTGAATCTCTGGATACAACTGTGGTAATTAACTGTATAACAAACATTTGTATAGATGCTATCAACAAGTAACATGCATAAAAATATTCCTCACATTTGCTCTGTTTGCCAAAATATATGGTCTACTTCATTGGCCTATTTGAAGTTCCAAAATATATTTTTTTTTCAATTTTATACTGAACAGTGTTTCTAGTTTTAAAACTGCTTAGAATTTTTGCACTTTTAACACTCCTTGTTGCATGTTCCAGTATTTATGTACATGTTTATACATTATTCTTTCAGAAAACATAAACGGCCTAATCACTGTGACTGCTGGTACATTATGGATAAAGCCCATCACAGCTATAAATGGCAAGATTGTAGATATAATACTAAAAGTATATTGAACTTGTAAACACTCTTCTGATTCAAAAACAAAAATGTTCAGAAGGGTGGTAAAAATTATTATACCTTTGAGAATTTCATATCTCTAGCTACCACAGTACCAAAGGAAGACAGTCAGGGTAACAAGGAGGGTGTATAATGTAATGTACTTACAACTTGTGCAGCAAAGCATTTCAAGTAAATAATCTGCTAATCCATTTATAACTCCTACAAAACAACAGCTTTCATCTATTAATTCTTTACATATTTGGTCAGTGGATTTCATCAACCTTGTAACCACAAATTAACCAGAGTTTCCATACTATAACTTTAATATTTTCACAAAATTTATCAGGCTTTCAATAACAATTACAAGTTTTTGTACACAAAAAATCAGATTTTCTAAATGAGTATTTTAACTATTTGTTCATAAATATATGGAGTCAAGGTGTTGACTCTTCTGAGTGTGAATTGATTATCATGTTAAGATTAAAAATACTTGTCTTCATCTGAAAATTTTTAAATTTCACTTGTGTAACCTCTAAAGCATTGTAAATATCAAATGTTCTTTTTCAATAAAACTATATTTTATCTAATTATAGTATTTTGGCACTTGTGTATAAAGTTAAAATCATATATAATATTCAACGTTAAACTGGTACACAATTAAAAACATTTGATTTAGGCCTATCTATGGCCTTCAAAGAGTTTAGCTCTAACTAAAACAAGAGGGGCTTAAAATTAGGTACTTGGTCTGAACATTGAGAGTTAAACTTTCAAACTGAAGATAAAATACATAATACTCTGTACTTAAAACAACATATCATTATACATCATTTGATAAATTAAAACTTTGCCTATCTATTGGATATAAATGATATAAAACATCAGAGAGAGAATTATTGGCAACTTATGGAAGAGATGTGACATGTGGGAGTGGAAAGTGGGTCTGATTTTCTAGTTTATGACTTTGTAAACAAATAAGATCACAGGTTGTAAAAATTAGACTTTGCCTTAGTAATATCTATATTATAACAAGTAATTTTACATTAAACTCCATACTTCAGAGAGAGTGGTAAATAAGTTAGAGATGGGGAAGACATAGGGAACAAATGTCAGGATTTTCATACAAGAGAACATTGAAGATTTATTTAAATATTTCCATATAAAATTAAGGAATTAAAACCTATATACGGTTAAAATTTGATTTATTAACTACATTTTGATGCCACGTATATTTGTATAAATTAATAACAAAGTAGTTTTATTAAATTTTGAATGAAACTCTGTAAAAGATCATGACATGCACACTTTGACCTATCCATTACAAGAGGGTTAGTATAAACTTAAACCATCCATCCATAAGTAATCTGATGCTCACATTATGTTGGTAAGCCTAAAGTTCGCACAACTTGTTCAAAATCAAACATTTATCTTCATTTAGGAAATGAATACATTCACATTTTCAGTGACAATATTTCTAATAAGTCTGGTAAAAGTAATTTGAAATCTATATCAATACTTCATCAAACAGACCACAATACTTCAGTAAAAGTTAACCAGTGTTGTTGTGAAATAGATAACATCAGCATTATAGTTTAGAAGCATCAAATACCTACTATTTTGGAACTTTTCCCAGTTGATGAAATGAGTCAGGTTTTTTTTGTGATTTCTTTAATGCATTAGCTACATGATGCATATCTGTAAGGGATGGACTTTTTGAAACAGCTCTAAAATTCTGTGCTGCATTCTTAGGTCGTGCAGTATTTTTCTGTTTCTCCTGGGGTAGCTGAAAAAATACCTCACTGTTTTTATTGTGTAAATATAAAACGTTGTTTTTTATTATTTATTATAATCTAAAAAAATTTTAAACACAAGTGCCAGTAGTCCATAAATACCTCACTGTATCAAGTCTCATACATGAAATTATACAAGCAAAGTTTCAGTTGTTTGACAAATAATCTTAAATAAAAAAAATGAAAGATAATGAAGGTTGACTTGTTAAAAACACATTTACTTGGGAATTAAGTCTTGAGTCACTTAATATTTAAGCTTCCATGATTCTAAAACCTGTAAATATATAGATTTAACAACAGCCAAAAATCAGCAATTTTGAGTTACCATTACACTTTACTTCTTTTACATATTTCTCCCACTTGAATGGGATCTCAATATACCTGTTTGGTAAACAATAAAAGCATTCCCGAAACAACAAAGTCATAGAAAATTCTATTATCAACTTTATGCATCCTTAAATATTTTGTTAAATACAAATATTTGACTTTTTTTATTGACCTATACCTAAATGTTTTTATTTTTTGTTCTATTTCAGAACAATTTCAATAAATATAGGAGCTTTAAAATCTTCTGGGAGTCTTGCACTGAGCACTGACAAAAAAATACTTCTTTAGAATAATTTTTATACATTTAATATTTATCACATGAAATAAAATATGAAACATTAAAATAAGTAACCTTTAGGCCTATCAAGATTCCTTTCAAATACATTACAGCATTTTAATTTTAAACCATAATATATAACATCCTGAGACTATATCAGTTTTCTCTATAACTTACAGTTAAGTCTGATGCACTAGAAGATTTCCTTAGATGTGACACAGTTGTTCCTTGAGTTATGCTTTCTTTCTTATCAGTTTCTTCACAGTTCTTTACTTCGGGTGATTTTAGAAGACTGTCACCTGATTCAGAACTCGTTCGTGTGGTGGAACATTCGGCAGAAGGGCTAGCAGCAGCTGAGGGAGACTGAGAGAAATTGATATAACTTGCAACTTTATGAAATTGAACAAAAGATAAGAATATTGAAGCAATTAAAAATCTGAAATATATAGCTTCAAATCAAGGTTGGAACTAAATCATCATCCATTTAGAAATAATAATTCTAGTTAATAGTTTACTTAACTAGCTTACTTCAAATCTAAGAAACATTTCAGTTTTTACAAGCCAAGTTAAACAACAACAAAATTAATATCCTGCTACTTCTGTACACTTTAGTAGCATGGTTACATCACAAACTAGTTATAAATTAATAAACATATGTTATATCAATCAAATGTAATAAAACTATAAAAGTAATCCACTTTAGGCAAATGGAATAATTCAAAACATCATATAGAAATTATAATTCTTACATATCTTTTTTAGTCATAAAATTTATGCTATAACAAGAACTGTAAATGTTCACAATACAAGCATTCTTCATTGAAGAAAATTTCGTACTGTCTTGTGTAATAGTACTGATGGCAGTATTCCACTACAAAGTGGTCCAACTTTTGACAAATGAAAACCAGGTAATAAGTAATGAAATGATTGCCTGTTTTTAACCAATTTCAATCACTACATAAATTTTTATATTAATGACATAACACTTATTATTGCAACAGGTCAGATGTGGGTCACCAGTTGTATTACATTGTCCTAAGATAACATTAAAAGCAATTTTTGTCAGTTGTTTAACAGTAGATAACCTTTATAGCAGTTGCACTATGATGTGTTGGTATATTGCAATAAATTTTGCTTCATGCTATGCATATTAGTACAGTGTTGTACTAATATTTTGATGAGAAAAAAATTGTGTTTTTTATCCTGCATACTACCTCTATAGCCAGTGTATCATTTTTTATGTTGTATTAAGTAAGATGATGATCCACACTTTAAAGTAGCCCAGGTTTTACTGCAGTATAGCATTTTCATTAGCATTTCAGTTTTATATCAGATGTGTTAGTACTACAGTGCAGTATTATCTAAGATATTTTTAACACTGAAATGTGGTATTTCCAAGAAGTAGCAATGGTCCCTGTGCTGCAGTTATTTCATTGGCTTCTTGGGGATGGCACATGTATGTGTAATTTGTCAAGCTGGTACACAGAATACTGGCATAAAAGTTCTAGAAATTCACCCCTACTAGACAGCTTTTTATGTTCAGTATATTATCTAATTTGTACTTCTAGGCATCTTGGAGATTTGAGCTATACCCAAGAACTACTGAAAGTTTTATGGCAATCAGAGTGGGAGAAGTAAGCATTAACCTTTTCTGAACTGGTGAGCACCTTTCAGGTGTTGAGTGCACATCTACATATCAAATTACAAAATTTAAGTAAAAATAATAATTTTAACTATTTCAACAATGTTTTATTAAAATATTTTAAAATTGATATTTTGCCATTTTTTTAAATATTTATTGTAATTTACAAAGAAATATGAAAAAAATAAATTCACACATGTCTACATAGCTCCAAGAAGCTTCTCTTACAAACAACGAAATTATTCATTTTTTTAAATATTCTACCTATTATAAAGCATAGATTTATATTTGATAGGAAACTACAATCCCTCGAGAATACAATTCTCAAGATTTTGTTTCTCAGGTGGTTATCCCTCTCCTTCTCTGATTTTGTTAGAATGGCTTGTCAATCTCACTCCTTTATGACCACAAAGAAAGTGATAAGAATAACTACTAATGTAACTATGCTTTTCAAATAGCTATCAGCAAACTTTAAATACTATTAGAATATAAGCTATTTATATCAATGTAGAGTGGTGTGAGAAGTAATTTATAATTTCAATGAAAAGGGACAAGGCATAGCTCATGCAGAATATAATAAATAAATGTTTTGGGAAGTTTATAATATTTGGGAAAAATCCACATACAGATCTGAGAATTATCTTGGCTTCTTTAGATATTATTTCATTCCTGAATTTTTTTTAAATTTCATTTGCTTGAAAATTATGGAAATTTTCTTCTATGACAACACATTAGGTAAGCCTTATTAGATTTAGAATAGGGTAAGCAATGGAAAAACATGTCAGTGACTCAAGTTCTTATTTATTGAATATTATTGTTACGTTTATCATATTCAAACAATACATATAAATAAAAGAACATAAAATTTATGAAAAGAAAGATTATTTATTGATACAAATTGATTTGATTTTGAACAGGATATTGTTAGTAAAAATACTGTTACCTAACCCGATGCCTTTGTGACAGGTCAGGCTGTAAGTCACCAACAAATCTTTGTCAGTTTTCTACATGTTTTATATGATTTATAGCTGAAAGTGGTAACAATTGGTCAAATAAAGTATCAAAATAAGTATGTTAATAATGATCAACCATGTTGGAACTGAATGGACATACAATATCGAACTTCCTGATCAACATTAGAAAAACTTGAAATCCTACAGCTAAATAGAGTATCTTTAATGTTTTTCCAAAAGAGTATCTGATAACAAAATTTTGGATATTTCACACCATAATAACTGAAAGAAATATTAAATCAGGTTATACAATTTTTTAAGCTGAAACTACATGCAATTTAGTGAGATTGTCCTAAATTTTATGCAGTTTGGTTAAGTATTTCCACTGCAAGAAGCAAAAGAATCAAAGGATATCAGTGACCCTCCCCCCTCCTAGGTCTAGAAAGGATTAATGGGAAATGAATCAAGTAAGGAGTTCTTGAATCCCTCTGGGACATACCCAAGAACCCCCGAAAGTTTCATGGTGATCAGAGCTTGGGAGTTGGAAATTTTTAATCATTAACAAATATTAAGTCATCAAGAAATTAATTTTTTTTAGATGAAAAAACCCAAACAACTTGTATATCAAAACAAAACATTTTTTAAATGAAATAGTCTCTATTCTTATCGATGATACTTTTCCATCTTACAATCAGGTTGTTAATGCCTTTATTAAAGAAATCACTTGTCTCTGAAGCAAAAAAACATGTTGATATCCTCTTTAACACTTTTCACATTTCCCATTAAGATTGTGTTGCAGCGAACAAAAAAAAGATGGTAATCTGATGGTGCCATATCTGGAGAATATGGTGGATGGGGGAGAACTTTCTAACCCAACTCCATAATATTGTGTTGCGTCAAATGTGCCACATGTGGACATGCATTGTTGTGGAGAAGAAGAACACCTTTCCGATTGATG